AAAAGCTAAAATTTTAAAGACCGGAAGCATTTCCAGATATCGCAATTCGCGATCACTTAATTCGAGCCCTGTGACTGCTACTTATGTTCATGCAATGTGAAAGGGTATAGTACCAAAAATATAAAAACAAATTTGTTATCCAAACATGGATTTGGCACTCCGCCCAGTCCCTTACGGACCTGGTATTCCTATACCACAGGCACTCCAAAGCATAGATGATTCGCCATCATCAGAAAGTGAATCAGAAGAAAGTTCTAGTAGCGAGTTTCAAGTAGGTGACTCTAGTGGCAATTGTCTCAAGCTGAATAAATTGACCTGATCCAAGATTTGGAACTCCCGAAACAATCTGCTGAGTTATTAGGATCCAGACTGCAAGAGAAGAATTTATTGAGACTTGGAACTTCTTTTGCTTCATATAAAAATATAGAAAAAAACATTTTGAGCCATATTTTTCTCAAGATAGTGAGCATGTCTATTGTTCCTATATTAATGGTTTAATGTCCACGATTAAAGTTCAACATATAGCTAAAGAAAATGGAGACTGTTTATTGATTCCACAAAAAGAAGTGTAAAAGCTGTTTTAGTTCACAACGGGAATAAGTAGGCATCAATACCTGTTGGTCATTCAGAGCATTTGAAGGAAACTTATGGTAACTTGGCATTGATCTTGGATAAGTTAAAGTACTAGGAATTCAAGTGGACAGTTTTTGGGGATCTTCAAGTAATTTCTATGATACTTGGACAGCAAGATGGTTACACAAAATTTGCCTGTTTTCTTTGTGAATGGGATAGTCATGCTTGAACTAAACAGAAAGTGTTGCCAAAAAGAACATTGAAGGTCGAAGAGAAAAACGTGCACTTTGAATCTTTGGTTGACCAATAAAAAGATCCGTTTACCACCGTTCCACATCAAACTTGGCATGATGAAGCTATTTGTGAAGGCATTGCCAAAAGATGACAAGACATTTAAATAACTTTCAAGCAAGTTTCCTTATCTGTCTGAAGCAATGCTGAAGGAGGGAATTTTTGTTGGTCCTGACATTCATAAACTGATGAAAGATAACAACTTCGAAAATGTGATGAACAATGTTAAAGGTCAGCATGAAAATCTTTTAAAGATGTAGATACAAAATTTCTAGGGAATCAAAAGGACCTGAACTTTGAAAATATTGTAAAAAACATGTTGTGCAATTTTAAAAATCTGGGATGCTCACTGAGTTTTAAACTCCATTTTTTGAATTCCCATTTGAATTACTTCCAGAAAAATCTTGGTGCAGTTAGTGAAGAGCTAGGTAAGAGGTTTCACCAAGATATCAAGGAAATGGAAAAAAAATCTCAAGGTCAATGGGATACAAATATGATAGACAACTACAGCTGGATGCTGCATAGGAAAAATATAACATCCCACAAAAGAAAAAGCAAAAAATAAAGCTTTGAAACTAAAATGACCTGATTTGTAAATAAAACATTTTATGACTTAAAATTAATAAAATTTGCATAACTTTATAACATTTTTTCTTTTGAACATTCCCTACAGAAGTAGTGTAAGGCGGGTTTTGCCTATATTTTATTTCCACTTTGCGGAAAATGCATGATGGGTCAAAATGGATGGCATTTTTGAATTCAGCATACTGAATTGCATATAATTTCACCTATTACTATTTTTTTTAAAAATTAAAAACTTTGCAGACCTGTGTTATAGTACTTCAGTAACAGGCAGTTGCCATGGGCAAAACATAACTGTTGATTTACAGGTAATATTCTTTACATGCTTTGTCAGAGAAAAGTTTAAAACACATAATGTATACCAATAATATCTTTTTGTGAATCAAGTCCATGTTATGCAAGCTTTTGTTCTAATATCTCAATACACTCAGCTAAAGACATTGATCCTGTTGTTAATTATAGAACCAAGCTTAAGAACTGACAATTTTGTGCATGTAAATTAATATTGATGTAACAATGGTTTTGTAGTGATGTCCATTCATCAAAAGATAAAGAAAATCTTTCTTCTACGCTGAACTGAGGTTTTTTTTTGCCAGCTATTCCAGTAATTAAAAACTCCTTACTTTTTTGCTTTAATCTACAAACATTTTACGCAGTGTTGACTGTTGTGGGTAAACTTTTAAATCCTGTAGCTATAAGATCTGCATGTACATCACTAGAATAGCATATAACATTAAACAAAATCCCAGCAAGGGCTATTAATTGTGCAAGTATTGCAAGAAGTAATTTTTCTTCTTGCTCCATTATTGGAAAATAATTGGTTAACGCTTGTTTATCTTTGTTGGTGGTTCATCTATTGTGAGTAGTAGTTAATTTTAAGAGTAAAGTAACAGAAAGTAAGTAGAGAATGGAAAGTAAGACAGTATGGAGAGGTTTTGTTAAGCCACCTCCAATTTTTAAAATCTTTTTTGCAGTCAGTATACTTACAAATTGTTGTCTGCCTTTTTTCGTCTCATAAGAAATGTTTCTAAACCATAGAATTACTTTTTTTGTCATATTCCGTGTAAGAAGTCATTATAATTTAAGAAAATTTACTGTTCAAATAACCAGTAATTTTAACTTTAGTACTAAAAAATAGTCACAAACAAATAACGAGATAAAAAGTGCAAGAAACTTGAATAAATTTGACGAAGCACACATTAATTTTGAAAATTCAATTTCAATATAATTTCAATAGTTATAATAAATTCAATTCAATTATTCAAATACATAATTGCAAGAATTTCAAATTTGTAAAGTTTGAATTTGATTGCAATTTAACGAAAAAAAATAATTCAGGAATTTTCATTATAAAATTTTTTTTAGTCAAATTTAATCAAAGAAATTTAATTTAAAAACTGAAAACAATTTAATAAAAATCTGGGATTAAAAATAAATTGCTAAATCCTGGGATTTTGGGATTGTTAAAAACTGTGGAATCCCAGGACTTTGGGATCCCGTGATGTTGCATATCAACCATTTTGTAAAAAAAGATTTTAGTAGATTTTACATAAAAAGCTTTGTAAAATAATTATCAGGCTATTGGGATCACTTGAAAGTGATCACGAACACCTGATTTAAATCCCAATTAAAATGTTGACCCTCAAGTGAAAGGCCTTAAGTCTACAATTCATATTCAAATACAATCCAAACTTCAGTATTCCACATTATATATTAATAATAAGGCCTGTTTGTGTATGTGTGTGTATATATATATATATATATATATATACAAACACACACATATATATATATATATATATATATATATATATATATATATATATATATATATATATATATATATATATATATATATATATATATATATATATATATATATATATATATATATATATATATATATATATATATATATATATATATATATATATAAACAAATT